TATTGTTCTTTGGATTCTATGTGCCTGGAACAGTGTTGGACAGATAAGTATATCAAAGGTTTCTTTTTTTGCCTGTCTCTTTTGTAGTTGTTATGAAGAAAAATTTTCTGAACACAGAATAGATACCAATTGATGGTATTTTGGGTTGGCCAGGATTCCACACTCCATTTGTCTATGTTAGAGCATCAGCTGTGACAACACATATGTATTCACATGTCTGTGTCCTTACACTTTCTAAACCGCTCAGTTCCTGACTGCTTTTTAAGGTACATTATTTTCAAAGATATCTACCCTCATCTACTGTACTGAAAGCATCCTTCTAAAAGTGAAAAAAATAAATGACTTGGGGCATCGTTAAGATATCAAAACATAGAAGTGGATGTTTTCTCACCAGGTTTTCTGGTTAATTTCTGTATTTTTAGAACGTCTTTCCTCAGAACATTGACACCTATCCTTCTGTGACCTTCCCCTGAATACCTACTCTTTTTCAAAACCCCAAATCACTCAATATATTTTATTTTTTCACTGATTAAATGCAACCTGAGAAATAGAAGTTTTCTTCAATTTTATATACATGCATATTTCTATATGTATATATATCATATATATATAGATATAGATATGTATCCTATTCAAATGTTAGCTAACACCTTTCTCTTTCATCATAAAGATACTAAAATAAACTTAGCTCAGATTATATTATTCTTTTCTTTATTTTTTTCCAGTATCAAAATTTGTTAAAGTCAACTTTATCTAGTATGAGATAACGATATTTATTTGGGCATGTCTCTGTGTCTTCTATTCTATTCCATTACTCTTCAATTTTATTTTTGTGCCATTACCATGCCACTTTTGTTACTAGATATGAAGAAATTTTATTTCTGACAACAGAATAGATTCTGTAGTATAATAGCTCTGTAGTATAATTTAAGGTCTGGTTTGGTGATGTCTCCTGTATTACTTTTGTTGCTAAGGATTGTTATGGCTATTCTGGGCCTCTTATTTTTCCAAATAAATTTTACGACTGCTTTTTCTATTTTTATAAAGAACATCATTGGAATTTTAATGGTAATTGCATTACATCTGTATAGAGCTTTTGGTATCATAGCCATTTTGAAATATTAATTCTGCCTATCCTAGAACATGGGAAAGCTTTCCATTTTCTAAGGTCTTCTTCAATTTCTTTCTTTAGTGTTCTAAACTTTTCATTGTAGAGGTGTTTTACTTCCTTTGTTAGATTGATTCCCAAATATTTTATTTTTAATTTTTGAGGTTATTGTGAAATAGGATAGTTTTTCTGATTTTTCTTTCAGCTGATTTTTCACTGGTGTATAAGAATGCAATTGATTTATGGGTGTTAATTTTATATCCTGCTACTCTGCTGAATTTGTTTATGAGTTCAAGGAGCTTTCTGGGTCTTCTAAATATAGAATCATGTCATCAGCAAATAGGGATAGTTGGAGCTTTTCTTTTCCTATTTGTATCCCTTTAATTGCTTTCTTTTGTCTAATTGCTCTGGCTAGGGTTTTAAGGACTATGTTGAATAGGATTGAAAGTGGGTATTCCTGTCATGTTCCAGTTTTTAGAAAAAATGCTTTCACTCTTTCTACATTTAGAATGATGTTGACCTTGGATTTCATATGTATAGCTTTTACAACGTTAAGATATATTCCTATTATCCTAGTTTTTCTAGCATTTTGAACATGAATGGATATTGACATTTGTCAAATCCTTTTTCTGCATATATTAACATAAAAATGTGGCTCTTTAAGTCTACTGAGTGATGAATTATATTTACTGTTTTCCATATATTGAACCAACATTACATACCTGAAGTGAACTCCACTTAACCATAGTGTACACTATCTTTATATATGCAATTTATATGCATTTTTTGTATGAAATTTGCCACTATTTTATTAAGAATTTTTGCCTCTATGTTCATCAGGGATATTGCTCTGAAGTTTTCTTTCCTTAATGTATCTGTCTGGTTTTGGTATCAGGGTGATATTAGCCTTATACAATGAGTTTTGAAGAATTTCTTCCTCTTTTATTTCATGGAATAATTTTAGGAATATTGGTGTAAATTCTTCTTTGAAAGTCTTGTAGAGTGCAGCTGAGAATCCATCTATCTGGTCCTGGGATTTTCTTTGTTGGTAGTCTTTTGATGGCATTTTCAATTTCATTGCTTGTAATCAATATGTTTAAATTTTCTATGACCTCCTGTTTCAATTTGGGTAGGTCATGTGTCTCTAGAAATTTGACAATGTCTTTATGATTTTCTATTTTATTGGAATATGGAGTTTCTACCTTGTGATTTTAAAGTATCCCTCTATCTTACTAGTACCTAATAGATTTGGTGGAGGAGTGAATGATAGCAATAATGTATGTAAACAATATATAGCAGTAGAATAGGTCCTTAGTTCCAATTTTGATATCTAGTGGCAACTGGAATAATATTTAGATATAGTAGGATCAGCAATTTCATCAGTAAAAGTAGTCACAAATTATGCATTATGTCTGGCTTAAAATCATGTTAATCCATATATATATGTTATTCCATGTATACACACACACACACACACACACACACACACACACGGTTGTTATCATGCTATTCCATAGGTCTATCCAATTTTTATGTTATTTTGTATAAGTTAAAAGCACACTTGACTAAAAATCTCAAGTAAATATTTGAATTAAATATGGGCAATTAAATAACCATGATTTTTGACTTATAAAAATATCAACATTAACAATTTTTACTTACTTGTTATAATGAACTTTACATGATCTATTAATAGTCACCAAATTGCTTCAAAAGATTTAAAAGTTGCTAATAGCTGTCCAATATCAGCAGCTAAATGAACCTTATGTAGGGTCCAAAATAAAGTCTTAGAAATGTAAGCAATGAGAACTATTTAGCCATGACACTGATGTTCTGATCATTACAGGAACTTTATCTTAATTAAATTTGCACTCTAGTACCAATTCAAAACGTTATTTCTCATGCAAAACCTAATTATGCAGCCAAAAGGATGTTCATGCTTCAATAAATTGAAAGTCAAGTGCTGTAGTAGTAATACAAACATTTCATCCAAAACTGTTGTCACCATACTAGATTAGAGAACATTTTCTGTTGTTGTTATTATTGAAATATATAATAATCACAATAAATAGGGGAAAAATAGGTTCTTTATATATATTTTTTTAAATTAGAAAACTTAGAACAGTGATACTTTTACTGAATAATAAAGCAGAGTTTATTCTGTAGCAATAAAATAGTATTCAAACCAAGTAGAAATTAACTCAACATTTGAACCTCACAAAAATGATAAATGTTCCAGGTGGATATGCTAAATATCCTGATTTTATGAATACACACACACACACACACACACACACACACATAATATATGTATTGAAACATTTTTTGTGTTTCATAAATATGTACAATTATTACATGTCAAATAAAACTAGAACAAAACATAAACTTTAAATCTAATATGATATATATTGACATTTTATATTTTTTGTTCTATTTATCAATATCTACTTATAATATAAAACATTATTTTACCATCTCAAATTTGTATTTAGGTACTAGAAATTCCTAAAAATTCCTCTTGTTTTCATTTGAATCTTTTTTTTAATCAAATAACCCAAGGCTCTTTGAGAAGATAAATAAGTTGAAAAGCAATTTATTTTTATTAGTTTGATGCAGAATTAATATTAGAAAAAAATTATACTATTTACTTCACATAATGTAAACAAAAGATCTAAAATTATTGTCTATTATGTAGGTATCACTGATGTCTGTCAAACTTATACAACAGAGTTCTACATAGTTATTCACCAACACAGTAAGAATGAAAACTTAAAATATTAAGAATGAAGCTTATATGAAGTTCAAATTATTTTTTTAGCTTATTTATTAAGGAATACAGGAATTGAAATTGTTTTGCTGTAGTAAATTTTATTTACAAACATCTTACAATTTTGTCATGCCAGAATCTTGGGAGTACTCATTTGTATATTTGCAATGTGAGTAGAGTTTCCAGGAAAGAAAAATAAGATTTAAGAAAAATGACACATATGATTAGCAAAAATCAGATATTTTAATGTGTCTTAAAATTTTTGATGAAATTCATTCAGCTGTTTTGGTATTTTGGCAAATTTAGCTTTTTTTCTTTTTCTTTTTCTGTGCTGAGGGTCAAACCTCTAGCCTCAGAATCTCATGCATATTACGCAAGTTCCCTATCACTGAGCTAGCCCTAGATTGATGTTTTGAGTGTTTTTACTGTTGTTGTTGTTGTATTTTAGAATGGAATAATATAGGCTCTAATTAAATCAGAAATCTCCTTTTGACATGAAAACAATTTTTAACTTCCTTGAACCAGTTTACTAAGGTTTCTTTGTGCTCAATGTCAAATATAATTAATAATCTATACTAATATGCTGAATATCCATTGACATGACTTTTCTCAGGTGGAACATTTCCTCAGGAAAAAGTCTATTTGCTCTAAAATGCTAGAAAAATCTAGAAATTAAAGTCAGGTAAACTTTGGAAAAATAAATAAAATTATTGAATATAACTCCAAAAGCAAACTCAAGTGACTCAAAGAGTGCACCTTATGATGTCTCCATCAATTTCGAGGAATGCTATAATATTCTTCAATTCCCCAATCCACCTCAACTCTATTACCTGCTATCCAGAGATAGACATCGAATTTATTTTTTTCTTAAAAAGTACTCTGGAGTGAGGTGAAATCTTAGAGTAGTTTTGATTTGCATTTCTCTAATTGCTAGAAATGATGAACATTTTTCTACATGTTTTTTGGTTGATTGTGTTTCTATTTTTGTGAAATGTCTGTTCAGTTCCTTAGCCCATTTATTGATTGGGTTATTTGTTTTTTGGTGTTAAGTTTTTTGAGATCTTTACATATCCTGGAGGTGAGTGGTCTATCTGAGGTGCATGTAGTAAAGATTTTTTTCCCATTCTGTAGGCTCTCTCTTCACGTTATTGATTGTTTTCATTCCTGAGGAGAAATGGAGAAAGTTTTCAGTTTGAACCATCCCATTTATTGATTCTTAATTTTACTTTTTGTGCTTTAGGAGTCTTGTTAAGGAAGTCAAGTCCTAAGCTGACATGATGAAGATTCAGGCCTACTTTTTCTTCTATTAAGTACAGGGTCTCTTTCTAGTGTTTAGTGACAAAAGACCACTTTTTTTTTTTTTTTTTTGGTGCAGGGTGAGAGAGAGAGGTTTGATTTAATTTTGCTACATAAAGATTTTCAGTTTTCCCAGAACCATTTTTGAATAGGCTATCTTTTCTTCAATGTATGTTCTTGATGCCTCTGTCTAGTATGAGATAACTGTATTTATATGTGTTTGCTTTTTGTCTTCTGTTTTGTAATACAATCAATCAAACATATGGAAAAATGTTCATCATCTCTAGCAATTAGAGAAATGCAAATCAAAGCTCTCTAAGATTTCATCTGACTCTATCAGAACGTCCATTATCAAGAATACGAACAACAATAAATGTTGCAAGGATATGAAGAAAAAGGTATACTCATACATTTCTGATGCGACTGCCAATTGGTGCAACCACTTTGGAAAACAGTATGAAGATTCCTCAGAAAACTTGGAGTGGAACCATCATTTGACCAAGCTCCTTGGTTTATACCCCGAAGACTTAAAATCAGAACACTACAATGATGCAGCCACATCAGTGATGCAGCAGCACAATTCACAACAGTGAAACTATGTAACCAACTTAGCTAGATGCCCTTCAACAGATGAATGAATAAAGAAAATGTGCTACATAAACATAATGGAATATTGCTCAGCCTTAAAGACAAATGAGATTATGGCATCTGCAGGCAAATGGATGGAACTAGAGAACATCATGGTAAGTGAAATAAGCCAATCCCCCCAAAATAAAGGCTGAATGTTTTCTTTGATAAGCCGATGCTGATCCATAGTTGGGGGAGAGGAGTAGGGAAGTATAAAAGTATTTTGGCTTGTGCAAGAGAGAAGTGAGGTGAGGTGTGGGACTGTGGGGATGGGAAGGACAGTAACATGAGATAGACATTATTATCCTATATGTATGTATGATTACACAACTGGTGTGACTCTGCATATACAGCCAGAGGAAGGAGAAGTTGTGTTCCACTTGTATACAATGTATCAAGATACATTCTACTGTCATCTATAACTAATTAGAACAAATTAAAAAAATAGAAAGAAGACCTGTAAAATAGAAGAAGGGGATCAGGGAGAGGGAGGGGAAGGAATTTGGAGGTACTGGGGAGTGAAATTGATCAAATTATACTCTTTTATTGTGTGCCTATGAATATATTATAACAAATCCAACTGTTATATATAATTATAATGCACCAATAAAAAGGAAAAGAAAATTAAGAAAAAAATACTTTTTGAGGATGGAATACACAAAAAATTGAAATGGAAAAATACTCTGTTTTCTAAACATTGGTGATCTTAGTCCTAATGATATTCACATCAGAAGAAATAAGAATGAAAGAATAAAAGACTTGGTATTGCTGCTGACTTAATTTCTATAATGCCTTTTAGTGTCTTGATATAGGGGTCTGCAATGATATATAGATTGTTTCTCTCTGCAGGTATTGATCAGCCTTTTTTAAAATAGAGATACACAGGCTTGAGACAAGTGGTAAAATGATTTATAATCCCATGTGGACTATACAAGTACAATGGAAGGCCTTAATTCTCTAACTACTGAGTTTTCATTGTCTGTTTAAATTACATTAATTGTCTCCCTGGATTTTGGAAATTTTCTGTTATTGATATTGCTGTCTTCCAGGCCTCAAAATCATGTTGTCATAGGAATAAATAAGGCAAAAATTTCAATCTTACCTTAAAGGAGTGAATTTACATAAATAAAATCCTTATCAACTTTACCAAACAGCCTCTCATTTAGTTGCCTCCAAATACCTGGAATTACTGTAGAAGACCATTTGTAAATCTAACTTTCTTTCTTTCACCCTACCACTTTGCCTGCTAATTGGAGATGCAGATCTTGTGTGGATTTAAATTTAAATCTTATTTTAATCTTCCTGTATTTCTTTTTGGCTGATAACAAGATATAGAATTAATGTTAATCTATTAATACTGAGAAACTTCACAGGTATTTCTAGCTATTTCTAGATTGCATATGGCATCCCAATGTTTAGACTATGGTGTTTAATTTCTTTAATCATGAAAAGTCATATATATATCCCAAAGAAGCATTTTATCTGTGAATGTCCCTATCCATAGATATTAAAATATAGCATAGGGATGAAGAAGAAAAACAAGCATTTATGTTAGAATTAAAAAGAAATCCAAGTCATGGCTTTTTTTTTCATTAGAAATTTCCTTGGCTTTCTTGAATTGGTTGCTGCCTACCATATTATACTTTGGTTCTGTTTGGGTGTCCTTCACATTAAATGTGTTGTAGACTTTGCTCATTGCCATTATTACACTCAATGCTTACTGTCTATACATAGATGTAAATGAAGAAAAAACATCAAAAAACTGTTTGGGTGTCCTTCACATTAAATGTGTTGTAGACTTTGCTCATTGCCATTATTACACTCAATGCTTACTGTCTATACATAGATGTAAATGAAGAAAAAACATCAAAAAACGCTACATAGTCACTGAATTCACAACTCTCTGTCCTGTTTGGAACCCTAGCAAGCTCATATTTTCCAATCTTACTATTAGATATGGCCATATGACAGATTTTGAGCTAAAAGATATGCATACATCTCTTGCTGAACTCTTTTGGGAAATGAATGTGCTTGTCTTTACTCTCTTTCCCTCTCACTGGTTAAGCAAATGGCAGGATTCCTAAATGTTAACAAGCCTGGATCCTTAAACCACGGAGTAAAATGAACCTAATCTTTCTTGGGAATACCTCTTTGGATTATTTATGGAAGTGAAAATTAAACTTCCAACATGACTGATGCACTAGATATTTTGATGTCTATTTGCTACTTTCCTCTAATATAGGGATATCAAGTTGGTCAACACTACTAATTAAATAATTCATTAATATTATAACAAAAGAATAAAGCCACTAACATAGTACATGTAATATGACTACTACTATAGTCATTTTTTTAAAATGCTGCATTGATTTAAATGCTGAAGATATAAATGTAAAGTTCCAGAACCAAGTGGAGCTGCTGATCAGATATATTTTTCTTTAATTTGTAAGATTCTGAATTCTCCCCAGGCCATACTTTCTAACTCAATCCTGAGAACTGTTCTCTGAGATTATACCTGTCCTTGCAGGCCTATTCTTGACTGATCTTTCCCTATAAGTTCATTTTATTTGCCAATCCTTCCTTAAATGAGGGAGGCCCTTTCCTGCTGAATTCATATAGGTACTTCCTCTCTGATATGGCAGATGCTGCTTTTGCTGCTCTAAATATGGCTTTCTCTTGGGTCTCATAATATCCTGAGTATACACAAATTTCCTCTTCCTTTAGTGATGTATCTTTGCTATTTGCATACAATAACCAGTTTTAAGGATAATCCTCATTTGGACTTAGGTAATACTTTTCACTTGGATCTCTCATTGAGTGATCCAGGACATGATTTCTCTGGGCATAATGTGGTCTCAATGATGGACGTTCACTTTGCAAAGAATTTTTAAGATCGTATCAGGTAGCTTCAAACTACTTTAAATCTAGGGACAATCCCATTTCCTTCCTGAGTGGGACTCTTTACTCTTTACCCATCTGACTAGGAGATGCAATGGTCATACCTGAGATCAGTGAAAGACACTTTTCAATTACTTAGCCCCACCCATATCTCCAATTTCTGTTCAATATTGAATCATGTAGCCATATTCTGAGACAAGTGGAAGCAAGAATGTAACAGAAAGAAGAGTGGACTGGAATATTACCAACTTAGTTCAATTCAGGTCCTGTATATACTGACTGAGTATATATATGAGACTTCATTATCTTAGCTAAAGTTTAAGAATAAAGAAATCTCCTTACGGGACTGCTGCAATTATAAGACAAATAAATATAAATATAAATAAAATTATATTTCTATAAACACTTAACAAATATTATATAAATAGGTACATGTTTCATTTATATTGTGAGAATAGGTGTCTTGTTTCCAAAGTGCCTTGTTGTCATTAGGTTATAAATTCTTTTAAACTCATGATGATGATATATAGGAATATCACAAAACATAAGTAGAAATTCAATCTCTAATTTATATGTTATGGAATCTTTTTCTTTCTTTGTGTAATCAAATAATCATTTTGACTTTCTTTTTAAAATGATTTCTAAATAAAGAAAAACATAAAGTAAAGGGCATATGTTAGATTAGGGTCTTTGTGCCTCCAACAGCCTCTCGATGTACATAATACTGTTTTGGAAGGATCACACCGTAGATGAGCAGCAGTGCCTCCTTTCTTGGGATAAGAGCTGAGACATTTTAGAGGATGACTACTAGGACCAAAAGGAGAAGCAGCTGCTATTAACTCAATCCAGCAGGAGCCATGAATAAATTACATGCCATGGAAACCTTTGTGAACTGAATTTTTGAAAGATCTAGCTTTCACTGTATGCTCCATTTCTTTTAGCTGCTGTTGCTGCTGCTTTGATTTTTTTCCCCTGCCTTAGTCATAATAAGGGGTTTTGCTATGATACGTTTGATTTAAAATGATAACACTGTGAAAAGCTTTTTAGATGAGGCAAAAGTAAGATATTCTATTTTCTTCAAATAGCAATAGAATCCTTATATTCTATGTTCTAAGACAGCACATTGTTTTAACACTGTGTACTAATTACCTAATTGGGGCCCATAGCCTGTTTCCTGACACATGAAAAACTCCTAATATATGACTTTGAGTAAATAAATTACTTACACAATATTAATTCAGATTTATTGCTTGCCTTATTTTCCGCACAGACTCAAAGATAAAGAAAATTCTCTTACCGTTTTGCTTTATCGTGCTCAGAAGAAATATGAATTACATCCCTGAAAAAATAAACACAAGTGCAAAAATGAAAGGTATTACTTTTTAAACAAAAGATTTTAGGAACAGCTGGAGCAGACAGCTCTCTTTTTCAACAGTTTTACCGAGATAGAATTCTCATACCATGTACTCAACCCATTTATGGTCTATAATTTATTGTTTTTTAATATATGCACATTTTAAATGATGCACAGTCATTGCTGCAGTCAGTTTTAGAACATTTCTATCACCTCAATAAGAAATATTGTAGCTTTTAGGTAGTATAATTATATGCCCTAAGTCCCTGTCCCCAGCTCTAAACATCCACTAATCTACTTTCTATCTCTACGGATTTCTCTTATCTGGACTTTCTGATGAATGGAATTACATAATATGTAGACTTTTGTAACTGGCTTTTCTCACATTGTGTGAAGTTTTCAAGGTTCACCCATGTTACAGAATGTAAGTGCATTATTTCTTTTTTACAAATATTATTCAGATGTGCAGATATACTATGTTTTGTTTATTAGTTTGTTGATGGAAATTTAGGCTGTTTTTGTCTTTGGCTATTGTGAATGATGCTGATGTAATAATGCTGATGAATGATGCTTTGTCCAAACGAAGCAAAGGAAAAAAAGTCTTGTTATCTGAAATTTTCTTTAGATATATTATCTATATTTCTAATATCTAAATGCTTTGATAGAGATCTTCATTGAAACATGTCCATTCATCTGTTAGTTTTCAGGTAGAAGCTTTGGTTTGGTTAGGACAGCTAGGTATTTCCAGTAATTAGTTAAAACTTGGTCAGCTTTATTTGAGGCAGATAAATATTTGCCTAAAATCTTAACCTTAAAAAGAACATGAAAACCTATTGATAAAAGCAAGGAATATCTATTTTGGTTGTCTGACAGTCTTCCGTCTGGACACTAGACTTTAAACAATGTTTATTATTCAGAATGGAACACAGTCCAATGAGGTGCTTTAATTTCTTAATTTCCTTGTAGAGATGGTACAGTGGATTTCCTCTTTGGAAGATATCATTAGTACCCCAGGGGAGCCTGAGCTGTCACTGTACTGAAGGAGAAATTGCCACATCATGGTTAATGGTAATTGCTTAGATGCAGCAGGAAAAGTTTGGCAGAGCTTCCAGGAGGTTGAGAAACTTCAGATTACTTAGTGGTTTACAATCAAGAATTTGAGTTGATGTAAACACTTGTCAAATATGAAGATGTAAAGTCAATACAAAATGGTATTAGGGACGATTCTTGCCTGAAGTAAGCAAAGTGGAAAATTAACATCACTCTTATTGCATTTATTTATTTATTTATATTAATTTCTATCTCTGGCCGATGACATTCATTTTCTATTTATCATATTAACATGAAAATTCTTTTTTCAAACTAAATTTATTCTTAAAAGTCATTTGATTCAAAATGTACTTAAAAATGTTTTGTATATGAAATAAAATCCAAAATTGGTATTGAAAATGAAATATAGGAAAGCTAGAGTATAATAATCCTTAAGCATTTATTATAAACACCCCTAAGAACTCTTTTGTCACTTTGTGCAAAACCCAACAATTCTCTTCATTCATTCATGCAAGATTTCATTACTGCTCTTTGACCTAATTTCATTTGCCATTTCTCCTTGTGGTCACTTTACTTCATATTATATACATGGGGTCATATTACCCACCACTGGGTTATAGCTAAATATAGAAAATCATTTCTACATCTTGATTGTGTTAGTAAAAATACATCTTAAGAAAGGCTGATTGTCTGGGGATATATAGCTCAGGGTTAGAGCACTTGCCCAGCATGTGTGAGGCCCTGGGTTTCATCCTTCCAGCATGGCAAAATAATAATAATAATAATAATAATAATAATAATAATAATAATACTGATGATGATGATGATGTTGATGATGATGAAAGAGATGCTAAAAATCCTAAAGTGCCATTTACAGAGTTGTAGAATACCAGGAAGAATCAAGAGCAATGCATGTTTTAAGTTGTCTAAAATTTGTGAGGAGAAAATTATCTGCCTATAATCTTAAGTATAAAAATATTCTTCCTTTGGTGTGAAATTCTGTTTAAAATCATTTGTAAAAAAAAAAGTTATTGTATATGAGTTAAGGTTTTACATAAAAGGCCAGTCTAGATAACTATCAGTTGTCCATAATAGTTTCTCTACAAGGGAAAAGATAGCAGTCCAACTATATGATGTAACAGGAGAGAGATTAAAGTTGAAAAGGGAAAATGGTAGTCTGGAAAGAAAGAAACACTTTTAGACTATATATTTTTTTCCCTCTTTTAAACTCTGGGTCAACCTATTTTCCAAATTTTCTCCTTTTTCTGTTGGTATCTTCAAATTTCTTAAAAGGAGGTTTAAAGATAGCTTAATTTAAATTAAAAACAACGTCACATACATCTTTGAGGAATAGAGGAAGGCAGTATAAGATCAAACATAGAATTTCAGATTTTCTCAATACATAAGAGATAATTAACCAAGGTTTTCAAAATTGCATACTAGAGGAAAATAATTTCAGCCTAGATCATTATAAGAATTCAGTTTGTTTATCTTATTCATCTGGGTACCAGTTCTTGATAATATATATTGACTTGAAATTAACAGATTGTATATCCTGGGTAAATATGCTGAATATCTTTTTCTTATAACTCATTTCCAAACGGCTTTATTTTAAAAATACAGATGCGTTAAAAAAAACAAAACATTTTAGTCTAATGATGGTGTCCTACTGCACAACCACTATCCAACACCATAACAATAACAAATAGTTCTACCTCAGTGTGACACAAATCACTTTTTACATCGTACAAGCAGAGGTCAGAAACCAAAGAAAGGAGGCACCCTCCTGTTAAAGAGGAAGAGAAAGTTGGCATTTTTCAAAATATGAGTCACTAAAGTAAATGGGTTATGATTACCCTAGGAATAGACACACACACTTACATGCACACACACACATATATTCAACACTTACGCTATCACTTTTCTGAGAAGGAATTGATATAAGAAAATAGAACTACCACAATACAACATAAAATAGCTTCTCTTTATCACTTATTCTCCTTTTCACAGTAGTCTTCTTCTTGGAGACTGGATTCTGTGATTACTTTGATGGCTTGCTATGTTTTGTATGGAGTGACACAAAATATGGTCTTGCTGTCCTTTTTCTTGGGCACAGTTTCCCGAGAGATTGGGCAATTAATCTGATTTTGCCTCCCTAGGGACATTCACTAGTAAAGAAAGATCAGCAATCTTCTGTTTTATTCTCGACATCTTTGTTATTTGTACCAGAGGTGATGTGAATGATTCCATTCTACAAGAATCTACAGAGCAGTCATTGCTGTCTCAGACATACATCTCTGTTGAAGAGACAGAAACCTGAATGTTCTCTTTGGGATTATTGAAAGGCAATCATTGATTTTCTACCAGACTGAAAGGCTCTGGATGACTAAAGGTAGTATAGATATGACATTGCAATAGTGTTAAATGTTTTGAAGGAGAATTTGGGGCTGTGATTTAAAAATATTAGGTCATTTGGAAGGCCTGAAAGTTTAGTGCTAAAAGATAAATTGTAGATTAACCAGCATATGCTTGAAAAGTATTTGTGTTTGATATCAATCATTAGACATATCAGACTGTACTCTTTGTACTCTCATTCCTATGACACAGAGACACATGCAAAATGAATATACAAACACTCAGAGGAGACATTTTTCCACTTGCACAAACCAAAGTCCCTTACCCATCTACAAAATGCATTTTTGTATTCACATTGAGTCTTTTGTTGCCTGGTACAGCCTTGCTACTAACACAGCCCCAGTCATAATGAATCATGCCTCTGCTTCTACAACTTACACCCTTGAGAACATCAATTCAACTCCATACTACTTCTGGGATGTCTCTCTCAGCCTTCCCAAGTTGACCTTCTAATTTCTGATTCAATATTTTTGAGGCATCTGCATGCTATCATTTGATATCTCTGATTTGTAGAGGGGAGTTATTCTACAAATAACTCCCTTTATTTATTCTCCCTTTTCACATCCAGATACATCTCTGCTTGACTGGAAATTATCTTCTGGAAAGGAAGAGAGTAAGCCAATTTGGTTAGTTCAAATTTATAACATGACTAGGTTACCTGGATGTGGATACTTTGTTCAAGTGAGAGAAAACATCTCCTGTTTGCTCAATTCCATATATCATGGTTCAGTGGGTCAAGGAACTCAGAATGAATATCTCTTTTTTTCTCCTTCATCTATATCATTATAGGGATGCATGCCTGATGTAGTAATGGAGATGATACCATGGTGATGATAATTATCATCTTATGATACCCAATACTCATTGGCTGCTTGCTGTTAATCACTGCTTAAGGTGTTTTACACGAGTAAGCACACTAATTACTCAGGATTTGACTATGGGGTGGATATGATTATTTCTTCCACTTCACAGATGAGAAAATGAGGCAAAAAGAAATTAAATGACTTGTCCATGAAGTTTCATTGATAAAATTAGTCTCAGCCATCTTGCTTCCTCTTTATTCTTGACTTCTAACCTCCTTCACATAACTGATAAGAATGTGGCAGGAACTCAAGATTTAGATTTGAGAAAGGAGGAAATGTGAAAGTGTTGGAGGGAGCAGAAGTCTTTTGCTTTCAAGACTAAAGCATGTGTATAAACTCAGTTTTTAGCAGAGTCTTACAATAGGTATTTTGGATAGTATTTTATTTTCATTTTGCTGATGTTCCTTGAGAATAATGCTTTTGGAAAGTTTGTGGTTGGAATTTGGAGGTGTAATGAATTAATTGATGACCAATAATTTGGTATTCTTGACCTAATATTGAGTAACTTCACCCCCATCCCCCATTGTTTCTAATGTGCACAATATCAATGACAACTTTATAGCATAAAACTAGTTTAAATTGATCTATTTTTTGATAGTTCCCATTTACTAAAAGCAACACAAAGTTTACTTTCTTTTCCACAACCCTCAAATATACAAACATTTTTGGAAATTTATATGGTTTAGTGACCAAAACACAGTAACTACTTGATCTATAATTTCCCAGTTTGTTGATCCAACAAAGAAGAAGAGGAGACCAAAAGTCATGTTCTAAGGGTTCAACCTAAGTTTGATATATGTCCATTTGGGAAAGATAATGTGGATTACTATGTGAGAAAATCACTTGCAAGGAAGAACTTTGAGAAGACAATGCTACTTTAAAATAATTAAATAAACTGGGCCTTCTAACACATTTTAAGTCTGATTATATAGTCGTTTATTTGATGTGGGAAGCAGAAAGAGGGGTGGAAAGAATAATAGGGAAAATTCAACCTAGAAATGTAGAAACTGATGGAGAAAGTTTGTCTAAAGAATCCTTATGTAGCTGGGCACAGTGGCTCACACCTGTAATCCCAGTGGCTAAGGCAGGAGGATCACAAGTTCAAAACCAGCCTCAGCAATTTAGTGAGGCCCTAAGCAACTCAGTGGGCTCTACCTCTAAATAAAATATAAAAAAGGGATGGGGATGTGGCTCAATGGTTAAGTGCCCCTGGGTTCAATTCACAGGAACACTTGTGGAGGCACACTATGAAGAGACATACAAAGAACAGACACAGACACCAAAAGTAGAAGCAGACAGACAAGATGGAGTGGAGAGAGTAATGCGAAGTGGTGAAGAAGGAGTGCAGAAGTGAAGTGTCTGCTCCTACCTGCCTGAGAGTTTTTTCACACAAAGAACGTATACCTCCTCCGGTTACCATGACTATATTCTAATTAGTATTTCTGTAACCCAGAGTGCTAGCTGAGATAAGGTGCAGGTTAGAATAAACATGGAGCCCCTATTCTCCAGGGGCATTGCCATGGAGACCAGATCATGCCTGATTAGTTATCTTAGAGGGAGAAGGCTGGGCATCCTAGGTCTGGGAAGTACGGTAAACTTGAGAAGGATAATGCTATGGCAGCCAGACATCCCGTGCTTTGGCACAGGAGTTTTCCAGTAGCTAGGTATCTCCTAGCAGCCAAGCATTCTGTCTTTGCACAGAAACTTTCTAATCACCAAGCATGTCACAATCATGAAGTCTGTAGACCCCAATCCTCAACACAGAATTCCTACATAGTAACCGCCCCTCCAAAAAAAAAAAAAAGATTTTTTTTTGTATTTCGTTGGTGTTCTGGGGGCAATGAACAACAAAAAGAAGGGAATGTACATTTATCCTTTTTTTCTATTGAACTGGCAATATGGATTTGAAACCCTAACCTTGGATAAAGTTGCATATTAGTTTGTTATTGCCAGTGCTCTAGGATATTGTAATTATAGTGTTGCCCAGAAGAAGTGGGGTCAATGGTATTTAAGAAAAGAAAGCTCAACCTAAAAAGAGATAAAGTACCTACCTTAATTATGCAGCTTTAGAAATAACTGGGGACTCTGTAGTTGACAGTATCAAAGAAGACCAGAATAGAAGAAATCATTCTTGGATGTCCTATAGTTGCTAATTAACGTGAGTATCCAGGAAATAACACCACAGGATGCCTGGAGTGATTTTGACAGGTCACCCCTTTCTAGAAGTTGAAAATCCTGCCATAGCAGGTGAGTTCTGGAATGGCAGAACTAGTAGATAGTGTGAATGTATATGTGTGTGTGTGTGTGTGTGTGTGTGTGTGTGTGTGTGTGTTATAGTTTTCCACCCAAAATCTATTCTTTCTTTCAAACCCTGGTGTTTTATCAGCTTTTTTTTTTTTTTTGATGCTATGAACAGAAGGCCTAATAAGAATGATTTTGGAGGAGAAGAAGCTTGTCACTCACAATTTCTAAGGTCTCCATCCATAGATAGTCAATTCCGTTCCTCATGGCCCTTAGGTGAGGCAGACCATGGCATAAATGTGAGGTGGAGGAAAGCCACTCAGGACATGGCCACCAGGAAGCAGAGAAAAAGTTGGCTGTCTTCATCATGATAAAATATAAACCAGAAAGGCATACTCCCACCTGCTCCAGCCACATCCTACCTGCTTACAGTTACCACCCAACTAATCCCTATGAAGAATTAATGCACTGACATGGTTAAGGCTCTTATGACACAATGATTTCAACTCTCAACCTTACATTGTGTCATATGAGCTTTTGAGGACACCTCATGTCTAAACCATGACAACTAGCCTTGCTTTGCCAAGTAAAAAATAGATGACACATATTGGCAAATCATCTAAGCTTCTATTGATTTTTAAAATATTAGGGAGTCATATAACTTGTTTAATTTAATTAAGGAATTACTTCTTAGTACACCATGTATGTGCTATTGTAATTGATGTCACAGACAATTGGAAAAAATCCAATGGTTTTAGGGAGAAAAGGACAAGCATATATGAAGCTGTTTTACATAATAGATGGCAATTTATTTTTTTGGAAAAATAAATATTTAGGATCGATTTCACCAGAAGGAAATAATGCAAGAGGTTGGTGATGGGTTGCAAAAGGTGGCATTAGGGATAGAGTGCTTGATGAAGAAACAAAAATACAGGATTTGGATCAGAAGAGGAAAAACTATAGCCCTGGTGCACATTTTAAACTCTAGAATATAAGCTCCATAAAGTCATCTGTTTTTTTTTTTTGTTGTTGTTGTTGTTGTTCATCATTAGATACCTGGAACTCAGAGCAGCACCTGGCACACACCAGGTATTCAACAAATATTTGTTAAATGAGTGAATACTAAATTGTTAAAACACTTGAAACTCTTGTATTCCTCTTTGTGATGATATTTGAGATGATCTAATTAGAGAAAAGTTTTTTCTCTCTGGACTAAAACTTGGCAGTGAATATGGCTAAGGTTGACCAATTTCTGCCTCATATCAATTAAACCTTTCATGGGTTTTTACTCAAATGCAGTCATTAATGAGCAGATGCCCAGGGCAATGATAATTATGATGGTAATACATTGCCCTTACACCATTTCTCTTCTCCATGGAAACCTAAGTGCTTTACCAACAGTAATTATCATAGCACTTATGGGAGATAGGAAGTATAATTAACACCGTTTACAGAGGAAAATGGAAAAAGACTTATTAAACAACCCACCCAGAGATGTAGTAAATCCATCATTTATTATTGTAAAAATGTCAGCCCTCAATCTGATTACTTGAAAATAACAAATGACCAATACCTGATAACTGTGTTAGTATTCTCCAGAGAAAGAAAACTAGTAGTGCATATAGATGAAGCTATAGATGTAGTTAGATATAGATATATTGAAAGGAGTTATTATTATTAGGAATTGGCTCACATGATTATGGAAGTTGAAGAGTTGAGAGGGTTGAGAAGTTCCATAATTTTCTCTCTGAAAATTGAAGGTTTAAGAAAGCCAGTGATCTGGTTATTGTCCAACTCAGGCCCAAGGACTAGGAAAATGATGGTGTTAAGTCCAATTCAGAGTCTGAAGTCCTGAGTATCAGGACTGAGAGCAGGAGAAGATGTATGGTTCAGCCAAGCAGTGGGAGTTAATGTGCACCTCTTCTCCATTTTTGTTCTTATTTAGGCCTTTAAAGGATTGTATATGCCCATTCACCTTGGTGATTGTAATCTTTTTCCTCGGTCTACTGATTCAAATGTTACTTTCCTGATAACACCCTCATAGACTCCCAGAAATAATGTTACCAGCTACCTGGGCATCGCTAAACCCATTAAGGCGGACACATAAAATTAACCATCATAATGTTCAATCATGAATTTATTTGTCTGTCTTTTGGGAATGGTAGTGAGGTGAATAAAAGGAAATTACATCTTATACTACCAATCAATGCATTCCTGGACTCCCACCTTGAATTCTTTTACAAACCAGTGGGTGTACATAGGTTAAGGAAAATAGGCATCTCTTAAACAGTCTTATGCCTCAGGTTCCTTGGATCATGTGAACGTAGGAATATAATAATCATTCAGTTCTCACTTTGAAATGCTTGTTTCCATGCTTTCAAATTTTTTCTGCTTGCTCATTTATAAAATGCCCCACATTAAGATAAAATATAACATAAAATGCCAGACATTAAGATTGATCTTGATGTTTTTCAAGTGTGTCTTAAGAACAATTGAGTTATACTATTACCAAGATAAGCTTACTTTTAATTTTGATTTGCTTTTGTTTTGTATGCAGTGATGAAACTCTTTTTGAGTGTGTGTGTGTGTGTGTGTGTGTGTGTGTGTGTGTGTGTGTGTGTGTGTGTGTGTGTTTGTATGTAGGTGTTTGTGCATAAAGGTTGGTAGGAAAAGGCATGTTAGGCATTCCCCCCACAACTTTTTTTGCAAAAGAGCAAAGCAAGTATAATTGTATCAGGATAGTTTTGAAGCAAGAGACAGAAAATGAAACTCGAGTGGATATAAACAAAAATAAATGTTTGGGTTATTTTTATCAAAAATGTCAGGGCTACCACTGGCTTTGAGTACAGGTCCTTGAGTTCAAACAATTTAATCAAAACAAGTTTTTCTTGTTCTCTTATTCAAATCCCACAAGTGTCTTGGCTTTACTCTTGGCTTACATATAGTGGCAAGATTATAGTAATTGTTCAATTATAAACTTTTAGGTTCAAGTTCAGTGGAGGTGACTATGCCAGCCCCCTTGAAGCCTCAGCAGAGTTTTGGTATACCATATTGGTTCTGATTGCATCAACTGGCCTTCCAGTCCAGGATGTTCTATTCAGTGCAAAGACTGGAAAAATCAGGACCCATCCTTGATGTGTGGTGTTTGAGTGAATCACCCTTCACACCATTGCACTGGTTGTCACACTACACAGTAACCTCTACTCCCCACTTAGCCTTATGGAATCCATCCTTCCCCCACTGCTGCAACATGAGCGTGACACTGGCAATCACAATACTGCCACCTCTAACATTCAAACTCTAGGGTTGGATACCTGACACAGAGGGTCCATGCCTATCCTTGAGCTATAGATATATAAAGAGGAATGTCATCTTATATAAGAGGTTGCTATTGAGAGATAAATGAAGGTGAGAGTAAGGAAATGAATTAACAGAGAAATCTGCAGATTTCAGGTGCTGAAATTGCTGGAGTGTCCCTGCTTTTCTGTAGCCTAGGCATTGATTCCTTGACTTACCCCCATTTAAAATATCTTCATTTTTATTTATGTATTTATTTTTTATCTGATGCTGTGGATGAAACCCAGGTCCTCACGCATTTGAGGGAGGCACTCTACCACTGAGCTACAACTCCAGTCCTCAAGAGCTCTTTTTATGTATGTTCTTAAAAATGATTTCTACTTATTTTCCCATCACTAACAACAAAAATGTTCATTGTTAACATTCTTGTTTTTTATTTTTTATTTGTTCTTGAAACCTTAATTTATTCTTGATTGTAGTAAATGAGCCCCTATCCTACTTTTCTCTCTGAATACTTGTTTTGAAAAATTGTTTAGAAACAAGTTCTTTGTAATTCCTATTGTGATGTATTTACAGGCTTACAAAACAAATCACTATAACAATATAATGATTTCTTTATACCTAAATCATCTAAATGTTAAAACTTTACTGGACTCAATAACAGACCCTGACTAATTAACTGGATCACTATATGTAGCTGGATGCACCGCAAAATTTTTGTTGTGTATTTGTTTTGATTTTCTTTTTAGATTTCCCAGACCTTCTAACTGTTCTATTTTTCACTCACTCTCAATATCTTTTTCTGAAAATAGATAAATAAATGTCAATTCCTGGCTGCTCAATATTTAATAAATTGGGAGACATGCAAAGCATTATGGAGCGGTGATACTGTCTGGTAGTAAAGATGATAGTGTTTCAGTAGGCAGCCTTTCTGTCATGCCACTTTGAAATGGTCTAGATTTTACTATAAAGTTGGGAAATTTAATATCCATGGTTATATAGGTAGCATGAACAGAGAAATAAATGACTTTCAATCCTAAAATACTCAAAAAAATTTGCACAACTTAGTCACTATGGGATTCAATCTCTTTTGAATACATTTTCAGTTTTTGCAGTAAATTTAGGGCAAGATGAGACACTCAGAGGTGGTGGAGAAAGGGAAGGGAACCCCTCCTCCTACTAACCCAGAAAGAAAAATAGATCATGGGAATAGATTACCATTATAACAAGGGAATCAGAAACAGTTAATTTGGAATCACTTCTATAAAATTTTAGACATATTTCTTAAAAGATATGATTTTTTATGGTACCATATTTTTATTTGTTTTCATTTACTTATTTTGCAGTGCTGTGGATCGAACACCAAAATGCTATGTCACTAAATTATACCCCTAGTTCTTTGAAAATTTTGAGACAGGGTCTCACTACACAGCCCAAGCTGGCCTCAAACTTGTGATTTTCCTTCCCTAGCTTCCAGAGTGCTGGGATTACAGCCATGCACCCCAGCACGGAGCTGATGTCTATTTTTAAATTATCTTATATTCTTGTAACAAGTAACAACAGAAATCTTTGAAACAAGTATGACCTTCTGTAGAGGAACAGAAAAAGAAAAGTGAAAGAGAAGAACTCCCATTGTATAGAGTATTAGCTCTGTCAGAATGAAGAACTTTGTGTCTCTAGTGCCTGAGATAAGTCAGAGAAAGAAATTTTAAAGAGCTGTTTGGTCTGAGAAGCAAGCCGAGGTTTATCCTTATGGGATGCACAAGGATTTCCTGACATTGATCACTAAACAGCTTTCAAAACTGCAGAATCCTAATTCCTTATTCACTTCTGTGTTTTATCCTCATACTATTGTAGACTCTAGATCCTAGAGTTTTATAAGATTTTTCATATTAGTTCTATCAACCCCAATGAGAAAGAAAAATAATGCGGTTTTATTTTTATAAGGTTGTTGTCATTACAAAAGTGAGGAGTTCTCAATACTTTTTTTAATACCGTAGGTTCTATGAGGATTAGTATCTGTATACAGGACACTTTCATCACAGATAGCTGATAAATATATAAATAAATGCTTAAATATACCATTTTCTGACTGTACATTACAGCAATTTATGTAA